TTCGATGCCAACAAGCCCCATGATGACCTTGTGTTCACATATAGCAGGGACTACTTTATAGCCTCGGGCGTGATCTACTTCCTAAGCCTGATAGCCAGCCACACCCGTACCTATCTAGTGCACGGAATCCACAACGCAGCCTTCGAACTCCTCCCCAGCGGTATTGTCCGCGTAACAGTCCCATCAATCATCAAATGGACCCCCGGCCAGCACGTATTCGTGCGATTCCTCACATCAGACCTACACCTACTCACCGCTCATCCCTTCACCATCTCCTCCGCATGTCGCAATCCAGACGAAATAGGCAAAGCCTCAGAACTAATATTCTACATCAAACCACGCGGTGGTGTCACCGGACGTCTTAAAGCAATGGCTGCCAAGAATCCAGGCTGCACTAAGAAGATCCTGATAGAGGGACCGTATGGCGGCGTCAGCAAACCCCACATGACGCAATTCGACACGATCTTAGTGATAGCAGGCGGCTCGGGGGGTGGGTTCTCATTAGCCATGGTAGACGAAGCACTCCGGTTGACGGGGATGAACACACCGGCAAACGAGAAACGATTACCCTCCCGGCGGAACCTCCAAGTCGTCTTCTCGACTCGTGACCAAGCCATGGCAGATTGGTATACTGAGGAGATCGAATCACGGCTCTCAAAATCGACCATGTTATCCACAGAATCGGCCAATGCATTCGAGACTGCGGTGTCTGTGCACGTCACTGACCAAAGGAGATCGGAGATTTCCTTGACTTCGGAGTCGGACGATGTTAAGGGCACGGCTGGCAAGGTGCCACCGGCTGAGACTACTACCACGGGAAACTTCAGTTTGAATGTTCACCGCTATGCCCGGCCTGATCTTCCTGGTCTCGTTGCACACACTGTTGCGATGGCACATGTTCAAGGGACGCATCTTGAAAAGAAGCAGCGGGTTGGGGTTTTGGTTTGTGGTCCTGCTTCTATGCTGCATGACATTCGGAATGCGGCGGCTTTGGCGCAGGTCAGGGTGCTTAGGGGCGAGGTCGAGGAGCTGTATTTGCATTCTGAGCCTTTTGTGTAAGTCTTTGGTTTCCTTGCTATGTTATGACGATTGGCTAACTGGTTTCTATAGGTGGTGAATGCTTTTTGATATTGAGTATCATCTACTGGGTTGATCTTACTCTCTTTCTCTTTTCTTCTACTAAAGTACCTATTTATTGCTCCCGAGTATATATCAATCTACCACATATCCATAATGAATAGTGATATCCAAAGAAAATCCAAGTTATTAACGGCAAAGACCCTCTAAACCAGTCTAATGCCCAAGTCTGTAAGTCTGGGGATATGAAACACCGAGGCAAAACCCCGAAAAGCAAAAACGCCGAGCATTAATCCCATAAGGCTGAGTGGAGAGATGAGGAAGAAACGTGAGATCAAAAGATCAATCACGAAATACAAATCTAAACATTAAATGAAAACAAAATGAGATCATCAGGTCATTAACCCACCAAAATCCTACCTTTCACCTCCACAGGGATCATTGTCTTTCCTTTGATGTCAAATCAAATAGAAATTACTCTCCCCTCTCAACTCTCTTCATCAAGGAATCCCTCATGCGCACATTGACCACACCACCAATACCGTACGCAGGAACGATCTTCCCCATGCGCGCAAAGCAACTAGGCACATAATCGCGACGAATCCGTGCCGCACGTTCAGTCCAATGCATACCACCGGCAGGCTGGCGGTTATAAAGATCCAAACCGAGGAGGTGCATCGGCGTACTAGCGAACTGCATAGCAGCGGGACAGGCGAATTGCGCGATGCTGGATTTCATCGTTGGGCTTGAGGCGAGGAAGTCTGGGACCGAGGGCGCAATAAGGGCAGGGATATTGAAAGAAGCCCAGATGGTGATGCTGTCGCGGAGACAGAAGAGGCCGTAGGAGACTTTTGGTATTTGGAGGGTTGGTGATGTGGGTGCGGATGGAGGGCATGGTGCGCGGAGAGCGGAGCCGTACTTCCACGCGGCTGGGTTTGTGTTCATAGTGCTCCTTCTAGCTAGCGATTCAGAGGGAGGAGAGGCGCCAAACATTTTGGCGAAGCGCGCGTCTTTGTAGACGCAGATTGCCATGTTGACTATTGTTGTTGCGAAGAACTTGGGAAGGCCTGTGTCGATGGCATTGTAGGGCTGGTTATGTGTCGTTGATCTGAGGGTGTCGATTGCGTTTGCGGTGAGGTAGGTCGATGTGTATAGGGTATAGATGAGGAGGAATGGAGTGCTGAAGAAGAAGCCGCTGGGTCGAGCGACCATCGATCGAAGACAGTTTTTGATTGTTTGGCCGATTGGGAAACCTTTTGAGGCTTTTTCCATGATTGCGCTGGAGGGATTAGTCTTGTACTTGTGAATAAACATTGGAGAGCTGTGATAGTCACTCACCGATCAATGATGGTGATTAACGGACAGGTCAGCGCACCGGCTGTTGCTGCGCTAGCGACATCGACACCGAGTCGTTTGCCCATATCCTTGGTATTCCATGCTGAAGTTGTCGGGCGTGTGCTAGCCTGTCGTTCCTGGGGCTGTTCCTGCTTTATTGTCGCCATTGTAAATATTGTATCTTGTGCAACAGCATCCCGATTCATGCTCATATAGTTTGAACAAGAGAGAGGTTATGCATTAAGTAAAAGAGTATACACAGGTCAAATGAGAGAAAATGAATTACAAATGCGAGATCTGAATTATATCTACGAAGTATCGACCCCAGCTTCGGACGAGAATGACCCGGGCGCGACCCGGCGCCGGCACTCCGATGCCGGCCCCATAGCTTATCTACCAGATAAAACGCTCCAGGGGCTGCTTTATTTAGTCTACAATGTCATATCAAGAAAGATACAAGTATAGGTTTGCTTCATTATACTCTTATTTTAAATCCCCCAAACGCCAAATACCAAGATTTTAACTATCTATCGAGCTTCAATGCCATCCAGAGTGACATTGACCGCACCAGCTTGCACCAACTGAAAAAAGAAGAAGTTAGCAGAAATCCAAATTATGCAAGGGAGACACATAATACATACCGCCCGTTGCAAGTCGTCAATCAAGTCATCCACATCCTCAATACCAACACACAACCGGATCAAGTCTTCAGGCATAGCACGTTCCGCTCGCGTCTTCGCGTCAATGCTAGCATGACTCATACGACACGGCATACTGATCAGACTGTTGACACAGCCAAAGCTGACACTGATAGCCCAAATCTTGGCGCTCTCCACAATGCGCTCGCTAATGGCCGTGTCACCGGTCTCGAACGAGAGTACGGCACCGGCACCCCGCGCCATGGAATTGTGGAGTTCGTATTGCGGGTGGGACCGCAAACCGGGGTAGCGCACCTTGAAGCCATGCGACTCAAGGAATTCGGCAATGCGCTGGGTATTGCTCTGCTGCTGGTCCATGCGGACCTTCAACGTCTTCACGCCGCGCAGTAGTAGCCAAGAGTCGAACGGTGACAGGCCGCATCCTGATGCGTTGATGGGGAAGTACAGGCGTTCTCCGAGCTGCAGATCATTCACGGCAATGACACCGGCCATCAGGTCGTGGTGACCGGAGAGGTACTTGGTGCCACTCTCGTAAACGATATCGGCGCCAAAGTCTAGTGGGTTCAGGAGCAGGGGAGACATCATGGTGTTGTCCACAGCGACAATGCAGGCGGGGTTGGCTTCGTGAGCGGCGGTAGCAATTTTTCCGATATCGACGATCTTGATTAGGGGGTTTGTGGGGGTCTCGAGTAGCACCATAGTTGTCTTCGAGCTCAACACCTCCTCGACCTTCTCGGGCTGTGTGGTATCGACGTGGTGCACAACGATCCCACCATTGGTGGAGAGGTACTTAAGCAGACGGTTGGTGCCGCCGTAGAGGTCGTCACCGGTGACCACCTCATCACCGGGGCGGAGAAGCCTTGTAATCACATCCAAGGCTGCCATGCCGGAGGATACCACCAGGGCGCGCTGTGCCGACATGATCTTGGCCAAGTGACGCTCGAGGTGTGTGCGAGTGGGGTTCCCGGACCGTGTATAGTCATACTCTCCACCGCCGGCGTTGGAGGTTTGTTTAAAGGTAGCACTCTATAGGATTAAGGATGATCAGTATTTCAATCCAATTGCAAGGACCATTGTGTCACCGAGATGGATCTGTACCTGATAGATAGGAACGCTGCTGGCATTGTATTGGTCACTGCCCTCGGTGAAGACCAGCTCGGTGGCAATATTGTACCGGCGACCTGTGTGAGGACTGGACGGGGCAGGGGAAGGTGGAAGGTCATTGCCTGACAGGTCAACCTGAGGGAACCCCTTCTTTACACCACTGGATGACCCCGAGGCATTGGGAATTCCAGATGAGGCCGACATCGCTGCGGGGCAGAGGGGAGAAAGAAGGTGTGTAGATTGATGTAATTGAAGGAATTGAAAGAAAAGGCGAAGCGATGTCAGAAGCCAAAAAATGGGGAATAGGAATAAAAATCAAATGAAGAAACCGAACCATCACTCACACATCTTCTCTTCTCCCCCCGGACAAGCTGACTCGTCCGAGTCGACGCTGATTCGTCGAGCCACGGTCATTGCGATTTCGTCATCCGCTAGTCCCGATTAGGCATGCAAGTATGTGGAGTTTTATGAGTCAACAATTTACTTTTGTTTATGGATTTATATGGATTAGAATATTAGAGTACAATTTGTCGAAGGTGGTAAATAGATTTAGAATATATAGATTATGGAATGTTTAATATTATGTTGTATGAATTGTATAGATAGATATATATATATATCTATCGATGTTTACTTTCGAGAAAGTCGCAAATTCTCGTTAGTCATCGATTTGGTTCCCCGTCCCCGGGGGACTTCCACTCATCTTAGTCTACATATCTAATTGCATTTGACCGTTGCCCTTTAATTAGAAACCTACATGGAGGTTGGAATCTGGAAAAAATACCCAAGGCTCTACAATACCTTAGCTAGAGAGGAGCAACAAAAATGGCATCCAAATTCGAATCGGCATTTGCCTATCATGAACCCTCAACCAAAACAGTCCTCAACTACACCGGATTTCTTTTGACTCTGAACATAGCCAACACCTGCCTGGACAAGCTCCTCTACTGTGGGCTAATCGGCCAACTCTTCATCGGTATCTTGTGGGGCACCCCCGGGGAACAATGGTTCGATCAAGAGACAGAACGAGTGATCCAGCAGATTGGGTATTTAGGCCTGATACTTTTGATCTATGAAGGTAAGTGTGCATATTTCCATCTCCTTGTTGAAAATATTATCTTACAATAAACAGGCGGTTTGTCAACCTCAATCAAGTCCTTGAAGGCAAACATCCTTCTTTCGACAGCCGTCGCTACCACTGGAATCTGTGTCCCAATGGGGTTGTCATTCATTCTCAAGGAACTTGTATCGGCTACTCATCTTCAGTCCTTTGCAGCCGGTGCCGCCTTGAGCGCAACTAGTCTCGGCACTACGTTCACCATACTCTCAACCACCCAGCTAACAAGCACAAGGCTCGGCGTTGTCACCACTAGTGCTGCAATGCTAGACGATGTGGTCGGTCTGGTCATGATTCAGATTATTTCCAACATTGGAAGTGCCGACTCATTCAGTGCTGTGACTGTAATTCGACCTGTTTTTGCTTCCATTGGTTTCGTTGTTGGTCTTCTATTGCTGTGTGCATTCGGTTTACAGCCAGGATTAAAAAAATTGCTTGGTTGCAAAGACAAATTCCCAGCTTTTGTGGGGACTGCACAATTTGCTTTCCTTGCACAGACGTGTGTGTTGGTTGGAATCGTGGCTGGTGCAACGTATGCTGGAACTTCGAGTCTCTTTGCTGCCTACCTTGCTGGAGTGATTGTCTCCTGGTTCGATAGGCTAGTAGCTGAAGCGAAAAAACCAATTGCTGGCCTGCAATCTAGTGACTCTCACGAGCAGACCTTCGATCATAGCGTACGGAATAGCAAGAACCGGCGTACGGAAGAGACACCCACTCGAGAAACAGAAACAACTCGTAATGATATACCTATGGGCGAGCTCATCTACAGCAAATATTATAAAGCGACGGTTAACCACATTCTTCTTCCTTTTTTCTTCGTGAGTCTCTCCATTCGATTCCAGAAGGGATATATTAACATCAGCAGGCATCCATCGGATTCGCAATTCCCATCACCAAAATGTTCTCAGGCCAGGTTGTATGGCGTGGGGTTGTCTACGCTATGCTTATGGCAATTGGAAAAATGATCACCGGCCTATGGCTCATTCGAATCTCTCCGAGCCCTGTGTCGGGGCTAGTCTCTACCATCAAGAAACCGTTTACATACGTTCATTCCTACTGTGCGAGTCCTCAGACCATCAACAGAAAGTCGAACCGAAGCAAGAAGGTCCTGCAGAGACCAGCAACTCAAGATGACGGTGTAGATGTTTCAACCCAAGATAATGCTAAAAACGAGCCTTGGCCAACAAACAGATCTCCTACACCCACTTCTCGTCCTAGTTCCCGCATTTCCCTCCCCCCAAACCTAAGTCCTTGTATCCGCCTGCTATACTGGGATTCGCAATGGTTGCCCGAGGCGAAGTGGGATACCTCATTGCTTCAATTGCCGAAAGCAAGGGAATGTTCTCGGATGAATCATCCGAAGAACCATCTGAGATCTATCTAGTAGTCATCTGGGCAATCTCACTCTGCACATTGATCGGCCCGATCTTGGTTGGGGCTCTGGTCAGACGTGTAAAGAAGCTGCAAAAGTCAAGGGGAGATATGGGGGCTGATCCTTTGGGGGTTTGGGGCATTTAGTTACCTCGGATACAGTGAGCAATGACTGTGTTATATCAAGTTCCAAAACCACACCCATACATACGTAGGCAACAACCGATCCTAATGATCCTGATATACACAAATATAGCTGTTCAGCCACCCATCTCCATACTCTCACCAGACGACCTCTTATAGCGCGTATGGTTCGAGCCGTGAATTGTGATGTCGTGCTTAGCGGCATAAGCCTCTATCTTCGCACCATGGTCATCCCAGTCAATACCGTACTCTTCGACACTAACAATGAAGCGGACGAACAGACCGACGATGGTTCCGACGGTCTTTACCTCCGAGTCCGAATCGTTTCGCTTCAGAGTAGCAAGCATGTTAAGGAATATGGTGGCGAAGGCGACACGCATCGTATTAGCAGTATCACTGCCTTCGCGGCTATATATTGCACTGGTTAGCATTCCGTCAACTCTAAACATTCTGGTCGGAGCCAGAGAGACGAACCCAACCATCGACATGATAGAATCCATTTGGAAATACAACCCCGTCGCTTCACAGATAGCTCACTGCATCTTCCAGTCATCATCGGCCTCCTCAAAACCAAGGAGCAGGTTCTCCACCAGCTCCATAATGACATATCCAAAGAAGTCATTGTGGACATGCATCTCAAAGTTATCGCACAATAGTACCCTACTTCATCGCGATACATTTGGCTAGACCGGCGTTTATGAATATCCATTTTTCTCCTGGATGCCTAGAAGCAGGTTTGAGGGTTTGAGGGTAGTGGTATCGTCCGCCTCCTGATATCAGAATCAGCCATCGCTCGCACTAGAGACTGTTCAATATCCCCTCAATATTGATTCATTTACTAGATCGCCTTTTTTTCTCTGCTCTATAAACTCCTCATTTTCCTTATTCTCAGACTCGGTTCTGGTGATCTGGGTCTTCCAAGACGCGCATCCTAGGCATATATAACCAAAAGCCTTGACAGGGGCGCGGGTTCGAAATCCGAACCCCGAGTCTGCGTTACGGGATACAGAGACGGGGTCCGTCACTTTTCTAGTACGAGCTCGGTTTCCATGTCTACTTCAGGGCTGTTTGTTGGGCCTTTGGACTTCTTTGCGCTGGTGGTGGTGGAGTCGGTTGGTTTTCTCTTGGGAGGTATTGTGAGGGAATAGATGAAAAAAAGAACAAGTGAGTTTAAATGGCTTGACAGAAGTTAACAGGTGGATTATTCACTGTGATAAGACGCGACTTGACTCCCTCGGGATGCCAGTCCATGAAGTTTTCCCAACACAACTCCAATCAGAGATAACAGAAGACACAAGAGATTAATCAAAAGATTATCAACCTCTTCCAAGGATATTCATAAACCAGATCGTCCAATAAGACAAAAACAAACAATCCCACACCAAACGCCGCTGCACCCACCTCGCCCCGAAAGCAACCCGTTTTGAAACCGGAAAAAGAAAAGCCCCAAAAGATGAAAGTATATACCAGAATAACAAGTAGATTAGAGTCTGCAAAGGGAACTCCGGGTGTACTTTGTAGTCGTACTTTGTAGTCGTACTTTGTAGTCGTACTTTGTACTCCAAGCCCCCCAAGTCCACCCTCGATATCGACAGGTAAAGCGTAACACCATAAACATGAAGCGTAACTAGTCTAGATCGTGATTGTTCATGCAGCTAGATCGCCGAAACCGCCATTGATGCCAAAGAATTGGAACCTGTTGCGCGTGTTAACAAAATAATATTAAGTAAAACCATAAAACCACAAGGCCTTGGGAGACATACCAGTCCTCGACATTCAGCGTTGTTGGAGCAGTCGGCCCGCTACGGGAACTACTACTCCAGTTATCATTGTCTTGGCTAGCGGCGTCCATTGCGGCTCCACTCATTGTGCCGTCGAGACCGTGCATGGGCGGCCAAGCTTGCTGGTGCTGGCCCTCCATGCCGAACATTTGTTGCGGCGGGTTGGGGTGCATTCCCATCGCGCCCGGCAGTGTTGACATCACCGGTGGACTACCATGGGAGACAGACACGCTACGGCCCGAGACGGGCTGTGGCTGGTTGTTCATCATGGGATTAGGGCGCGGGGTCATACCCGGGGGCATTTGGGATGGGATCTGGAGGGATGGGTCCACTGCAGTGGGCTGGGGTGGCGATGTCAACTCCGGAAAGAAGGCGGTGCCATCTGGGAAGAGTTGATCGGGCTGGAAGTTCTCCCAGAGGGAGGGGGAGAGGTTGGGCGAGGTGCGGGTTACTAGGAAGAAATCGGGCGGTGTGGCGGGTAGAGAGAATTGGCCATTGAATGGGGTTGTAGGCCTGGTGTTGGCTCGGGAGTTACCCGTGCCGGTCATTGGATCGTGAGGAGCGCGGTGGTTGTTTGGTGATTGTTGGCCGCCGAGAGGGGGTTGGTTCAATTCCCGAGAGGGGGTGACAGCGGGTGTCTGGGGCCGGGAGCGCTCATATGACACAGGGGGTGTAGGCCCGCCATTTGGCATGCCGATGTCCATATCGTCGAATTTGCGTTTTGGCGGGTCGTGCCTCTTGGAGGAAGATGATTCTCCGTGCCGTGTGCGCTGATGTCTCCGGCCGGCAGCCTTCTGGAGTCGTTCTTCCAACACCTTGTTTCCGAGGATAGACTCGAACAAGGTGTTCACCATCTTTGCCACTAGCCATACCTTTGATACATCCTTGAGGGCTAGCATGCAGACGTTGATTCTTTCCTGGCAGGTGGCCACGATCGAAGGAACCGAAGAACGCATTTGGTACACGTGCATAATCAAGGCTGAGAATAGACTATAGACAATGAAGGCAGGCGTGTACCGGATCTCCCCATGCGCCTGTAAGTTTTCGACAATAGAGGTGATCATGCCTGCAGCTTGGAAGGCAATTGTTCGCGACGGATAAGCCATTTCTTCGACCCTGTAGTTATTGGGCGCGGACGAGGCAGGCGGCATATGAGCCCTGTGAAGAAGACAGAGCGTAGTGTAGTAATTAGAGTGCAAGAGAGCTGCCCAGAAATGATGGCTAGAGCGTTGCCAGCATACTTCTTTAGGACAGTTTTGCAGCCAATCGGCGAGCGCCATATCTGAGTGGGTGAGATCCATTGCATTCATACGCCGTGACTTCGAAGCCACAGAGTACTGCTGCGACAGAACCAAGCCCATGATCTCGCACAGCTTGACATACTGCAGGAAGAATTGGACATGGACAGGATCTGATGGGTATTCGGCGACGATGTCGAGCTCATCCTCAATGAAATCGTCCTCCGTCACCATCTCAACATCCGAGTCATCTGTATTGATTCCAATCGGTCGTCCCAGTGCGACAGCGACAGAGCGATCCCGGGTAAATAGGGTCCACCAGATTCTCTTCCAGAGTCGTTTGTCTGGTTTATTAAGCTGGGACATTTCGACGCTGCGGTGCATTCCAGAGCCCTGAGCTACCACCATAGCGACCCGTGTCCAGTAGAAGACGTTCTTGGTGACGTCTGTAACTAGTCAGAAAAGCCATTAGGATAGACTAGTATGGATGGGGAACTCACCTTCCGGTCCTTCCCAGTACCAACCCAAAAGCACCAATGCCTGCACGATAGTGACGCGGTCATCCTCGTAGTTAGCATCGTACAGCGCCTTAGCACGCTTATAGAAAGTCATGGCCGCAGGGGTTGTCGAGCCATTGGCATCCATAAGCTGCTGGTTAGTGCAGACCCGCGATCCTGCCAGCAGGATCGCCTGCAGCAACAATAACGAGGGCGGGTTCTTAGGATCACGGTAGTGACGCATGAAGCGACTCTTGTTGATAATCGGCACGACGGGCGCCACCCATTTGAAGTAGGCGTCAACCAATTCATCACACAGCGGTTTGGGCGGGAGCAGGAATGCGCCTCGCTGATGTAGTATATCAATTTCCAAGTTGTCTAAGTCCGTCAATCGGGCGCGAGATCCTCTGATATTTGGTGGGAGCGGATAGTGCACGACATCTGTGGTTCCATGGCGGTCTTGAACCAGAAGAGACAGATTCGACGACTCGCCCAAGTATGCCACCCGGCCAGCCTCTTTTATCGGAGCACGGGCAAACTTGGGCTTCATGAATTGGGCATAGGCGTTATCGGCCGAAGCTTGTTGGGCGGCCTCGGCCTCGGAGAGGGAGGTATTGGGCATGCCGTCGACGCCCATGCGGTTGTTCGGATATCCAAAGGCATCGTTCTTTTCATCCGAGTCTGAACTCTTCTCCTTTTCCCTAGACGCAGAGATAGAGCCAGATACCGAACCGGCTGGCTCCTCAGTGCTCGTGGGTCGGAAGTGAGCAACTGCAGCATCGACGATTGAGGAGGCAGTATGCGGTGGACTGTCATCATACTGAGTATCTTCCTTGCTCTTGTTCTGATTGTTCTTCTTTCGTTTTGGAGATGGGATCTTGCACTCGATAGAGAAAGCGACACAATTGGTGCAAGGCACCCCGAGACTGGCTGCATCACATCGAACCTAGGCGACGGGAACAGGTTAGAAGGTAAAACAAAAAGCAAGGCATGAGTAAGGGCAAACTCACCTTGCGAGCATGACATGTCTAATTGAGTCAAAGAAGAAATGTTAGCCATATTTTCAAATCCAAGACTAAAGGGGAAGAGAAATGTATCGCGATAAGGAACTGAGCCGAGGTGCGTAAGAACCTCGGCCCCAGAGTCGCGTCTCCCTAAAAATCCAGACGTACCTCGCACGCGCGTGATGCACGTTGTCTAAGATTATATAAAAACGAATTAGCAAGCGCATAAGAATGCTTAACTCGAAGAGTTTTCCTTCAGGTACAGGGGATGCGAAAAGCCGAAACTCCCCTGTCGCTCATCTTTGCGCCCGCACACTCCCCCACAATCCGCCAGACCCAAACACCATTTTGCCAATATTAAAGAACTAAAGCAGAACTGGCTTACCTTCTGAAACTCAGCGGTTGGCCTTGTGGACCATTGCGCACCGTAATGCCCGAAGTCCCCGTCGAGCCCGCGTTGCTCGGAGCCGGACTGGGATGGTTGTCCGATAGCTGGTCGGTGTGGAATTCAGTAGTACTCATGGCCACGCAGTCTCTCCATCCAGGAATGGTAGACTTTGGAGAATGGGGGATGCGCTCGGAGGGGGAGAAGGGGAGGGGGGGAGGGGGGGGGGGGAGCAATATGATATAAAAAAGGTGTTAAGGCCCACGGGGTATAGGGTACAGAGTACGGAGTATAAAGGGTAAGAAAGGGGATCTCTCACAGCAATTACGCCACGCGATCAAGAGAAAATTAAGAGAAAAAAAGTACCGGGGAGGGGGGAGAGAGAGAGAGAGTGAGAGAGGAATATCGAATGTGAAGTTAGGCTGTGGCAATATCATATTCCTGGTGGAGTTACTATTTGGTCAGCATTTACCTACCCCGTAGCATTTAGGCATTTTGGTATATTATATTCTATTATATATTATATGGAATATCTCCCTTTAGCATGTATTCCTTTTAGTCCCTCTTAAATGAAAAAGGGGTAAAGGTCTACCTAAACAGCCTAGATGGCGCGGGGGTTCAGACCGAAACGCTAAGAGTGTAAAAGCCACTAAAAATATTACAAAAATATGGAGAGATCGACAGGGAAAAGACCGGTAACTAACACCTATTATGGATATAAATAATATAA